TAAAACCATCATGCCCACCCCCCCTTCCCCGAGACCAAAGAGGCAGGGGGTCAGGGGTCATTCGTGAGGACAGCAACCCACGAGGTCTTCACTCACATTACCGAGCAGCTCTTGGCCTTCTCCTTCTTGAAGGTGGAGGAGAGCAAATCTGACTTGCTGGGCAGGTGGAGAAGTCTTTTGGAGAGGCGGCGGGTGGGGCTAGACTTGGGGAGCGGCTGCAGCTTGTTGATGCAGGCCATCGCTGCGGTGCGGAACACGCTGTGGATGCTTTTCTCTGAGGTGAATGCGGAGCACTCCAGGTAAGCCTCTGCACCCAGCTGCTTGGCCATAGCAGAGCCCTGTCGTACGTGGAGAGATGGAGATGAGTTTGACATTTGGTAGGTTTTCAAAAACTAAACTGTGCGATAATTCTCTGACAAAACTTGGGTTTTCAAAAACTAAACTGTGCGATAACTCTCCAAAAAAAATTTTAAATTCCATGCACGCGTTTAACAAAGTCTCTCACCTGCTCGTAGGTGATGGGAGTGTGTTTCTGATTGGACAGCTCCATCAGTGTGCAGACATCTGTGCGTAGGTCAATCTTACAGCCAATAAGCAGGATACGCGTGCTTGGACAGAAGTCCAGGATTTCAGTTTTCCACTGAACAAAAGGACAGGCATTATTAAATGGATTCCTTATTTTGTTGAGTTGTAAATTACCTGCAAAACGATGAAAGAGAAAAGCACTTTGAGGGATTACCTTCTTTAGACTGCTGTCCACAGTGTCTGGACGACTGATGTCGAAACACAGCAAAACGGCGTCGGAGTCGCTGTAGCACAGAGGCCTCACGTTATCATAGTATGGAGAACCTGAGAAAACAGAGAGAGGGAAAAACATAATTAAGAAAAGAAGCCGAGAACATACCCTGACTTCACTGATGTCAAGTTACATTAATGTTCTGTAAAACTGAGGTGTGGTTTAATGTCCTTTAACCATAGAACCATTTAAAAAATACCATTTTAAACCTTGTTTTAGTTTTTCATTGCAAGAAGAAATAAAATGCATCTTTATGTAACTAAAACGACAATAAATGATACATGCCCAGTCACCTCAGGCACTGTTCAGGCTGATTGTGTTCTGTAATAAGTGTGTGACTCTCTGAATTAAGCTACTACATAATCCAATTTTCAGGTGTCACTATAATTTCTCTGACCACCAGCTTCGGTGCAAGGAATAAATTGCGTGCAACCGAGGTGGAGGATAGAATCCAGCTGCAGGGATTATGTGGAAATCATCACTTCTCCAGATGAGCCTCACTTTTGCCGTCCTTGAAACTGCTGCTTTCCCTGCTCCGATGTTCCCCACTGGCATTTCAGAGGGACAGAAGATGACAATCGAACACTAAATCCTCATTGATCTTCTCTTGTGCTAGATTACACAAGTGAAATACCAGGGCTAGGGGCAGGCAGACGCTCCCACTCATGCCTGGAATCTTTAAGTAAGCCACCCACCCACTAACCTAGCTACCTCCCCCCCAAAAAAATCCTCTGCTCTGCACTGATACCACCGGTCCCTCTGTTACCACAGCAACAGCCTTGAAATCCAGCATCTACATCAGCCATTCCTCCCACCTCTCCGTAAAGACTCGCTTTAACTGCCAATCAATCATTTTACACCGCAAACTTCCCACCCACCCACTGTTGGGGACATTCCTTTGCTCCGCAACAAAGCAGGAGAGCACAGAGACACACTTTTAACATAAAGCCACACATTCACACATGCCAGCAGCACATCTAAAGACTCCGTCTCTTTTGGCAGCATCCAGAGGTGATCCCAATCAGTGATGAGATGAAACAGACAAAGGCACGGCTCAGTGGGATTAGTATGTTTACTCTGAGCTCTGTGTGAATCCCAGGAGGGATTTATTGTTCCTCATTTAGCTTCTAATAACAAAATCAGTCAATGTAATCACTCGCTACATATTACACAACCGTCCTAATTAAGTTACAGCACCGGAAATGGAGAATCAAGAAAACATATGAAAAAGAAAACACGCACACGACATGGATGTCTACGTAGAGACGAGTTTCATGAATACTTAATGATTTTCCACATTATCAAAGGGTAAAACTGAATTTGCCAGCTTCCAGGTGCTGTGAGTGGAATAATGACAAGCTGTGATGGCATTCCTCCGAGCTCCAGGTCCTGAAGACAGCAAATATCGCTGCAGATGAACAATGGGGCAGGCATGAACTGAATGTATGTTTCTGTGTCTGTGGAATACATTAGCACTGCAACAAAACCACATCCTGAATGAAGTACACGCCGTTGTCCCCTACATCATTTCCAAAGAGAAGCCACACACATCCACGAAGCAACTTGCATTTGAAGATTGGAAATTGACACCGATTTTCACGTGAACCACAGCACCGCTGGGATGATTTATCTGTCTGTGCGACCACATGGGAGAATTACAAAAAGGGCATTTTAAATTATTTCCAATCGCTAATGGAAAGGAGAGTGAACCTAGGTGTGATTCTGCATTAAACGGCTACTGATCTAAATGCAGCAATCGATAGGGGGATGCACAGAAGCTCCACAGGGTGGGGGGTCTTTGAGCCACCACAATTAAAGCTGACAAATTAGTTTAGAGGTATTACACTGTCAAGAGGGAAGGGAGACGGGGGAGACATTTAGGGTGTTTCCTCCACTAAAATTGATTTTTATCAAATGTCTTGAACAAAGGATGCACAGACCAGTGAGTGTATTCACACATTCTTGGAAGGTCACTGTAGGATCCATGTCTGAAACATGTAGTAACAAAATTAAAAAACAACTGACAGAAAAGAAGTGTTTCCTGCCATGATGCATCACAAAGAACCTCCTGTGCCATTAATTCCGACCCCCTGCAGACCAGTATCACTGGGTACTGGTCCCTGTCACAGACACCCCTGTATTTGCAACAACAAGAGGAGGCTTTGGATAAATAGATCAATGCTTGTAAAGCATCTAACCAGGGCCAAAATGTTTCCTCCCCTCTATCGTCTCATCAACAGCTACAACAGATGTGGAGTTTGTGAGGCATGAAACATGGAGAGTGCAGCTCTCTTAATGGGGAAAGAATGGTAATGAAGGAAACACATCATCAAATTCCATGTGGCTGAGCTTGACTCCATCCGTCTAATGGTGCAGTGCTCGTAGTCAAGAGTTGAGGTGGAAATTAGGAACATGAAGGTGGGGGAGGGGCAGCATCTGTCTGACTGACTGTCTGTGCATGTGAATTTCTTTGGTAAGTCAACCGCCTGACGTGGGCTGTTTCCATCATTAGAACACTTCTGACAGTGAGAATACAGCGGTCAGACCGATACATGATCCAGAGGCTGGATTACTCACAGAATTAGGGGATGAAAGTGGCCCTGCCCCTCCACCCACGCTCAGACAGCTGGGAGATGTGATGCTGCTGCTGCTGCTGGTACAGCTAATAACTATGGACTTTATGAACTGACCAAAACAACCCACCCCACAGAACTGCTCTGTTTGGTTAACCTGCCAGAGCATGTTAGATTCAGTGCTAAATCCACTAAAATAGATGACGACAATTCTTTGTTTCAGATCACACATCATCTGAACTGCAAACACTCTTAAATTCATGACCTTATACTGTCACAGATACAAACAAACTAACAAACATAAAGAAACACGGCCTTCAGCTTTTAAAACATTACCGTTTAAAAGGTAATATGGAAATTTGGTACGAAAAAAAGCAAAGTTCCTCTGGTACGAACCAGAGGACAAAGGAACCACAGCCTCTGTCAAAGAATCTCCATTAGTATGACTCGCTACATGACAGAAAAGAAAATGCTAATAACAGAATTATTGACTTGGTGACCAACTTTTGGGTGACTACCCATGATTTGAGAAACATGGCCTCATGCACACTTGAACCTAAAACATTACTATAATGAAAGCTGAGAGGCTATTAGAAATGACTGATACTGAGCCATTAGCAAAATTATTGGCTATTAACGATGTCACTCTTTTACAATTACATAGATTGCTTCATCGGCTTGAATGGCTATTGGGTTACCTCCAAATAATGTTAATTTAGTTGGATGTCATGCAAGATATGATCAAAGATACAGTATTGTCTGAAGCCTAGACACCATATCTGGAAAATCATTTTTACCAAATAAATGACTCACTGGCAGCGTAATGAGATCCACTATTCATGAGTTACAGTCGATGGACAGTGTTGGCCTTCCTTCGCTTTTTTTATCCTCTTCTCCCTGCATGTCCGATCAGGCCCGGCTGATTAAAAACAGCCGATTGATTTTGGACTCTAAATCCATGGAGGACTTGGTAGAAGGAGCAACCTGCCATGTGATGAGGTCAGTCTAATCAATGAAGGCGAGTCAGGATAATGAGGAGACCCTCTGACTGTGGCGCGGCTGCTGCAACACAGCGCTACACAATTAGAGCAAATTACAGTAGGAAGGAGGAACAGTGCAGTGTGACCCACAGATTGCCCTGAGCCTGTCGTCCATCATCAGGAGACTGACAGATAGGAAAAGGGTCTGATAACACATCACCCCTCAGCCATAAAGAAGAGAGGATATGTTTCAGAAAACGTGCTCAAATTTGCCTCTGCTATGACGTGGTTTTTGGTCTTTCATCTCCCTGTTAAACATATAGATTTTTTGCTAAATGACTGATTCAAAAAGTTCACCTCTGTAAACAACATCCACATTTTATGGCATATAGAGCATATCTTTTGGTCTTCCACGAGCTAAATAATGTTAAATTATACAAGCAGTTACTTTAAAGTAACAAAAGGAAATAAAATAGATATGAATAAATAAAAAGGAATAAGACAAAATGCAACAAAAGCTTAAAAAAAGATAGGAAAAGCAAAACATTCCAAAAAAAACTAAAGTGAAAACACAGCAAAAATAAATAAAGTTAGACAAACTAAGACAAAAAAGAGCCAAAAAATGGGTGAGCCTAAAATATAAAGATATGCCTTGTTATCGCAAAAATGTCACTTTTCTCCCCTGACATTGGTATAAATAAGCAGCGATAGAGAAAAGAGTCAGAGACTGGTAGGCCACTGATCCACGGTCTTAATCCACTGCATCATGCTGTTTGAGTGGATAACCTGCTGCAGCATATGGAGCACAATGCAGGTCACCAGTTTGTGAGCAGCCTCCTGTCTGTCAGCTCCAAAATCCTGTGCTAAACCTACTCAGTGGGAAGACTGACAACAACACCAAACAGTGGAGTGCCCATGGGTGCCATGCCCACTCCTGGAGACCAAACCGAGGATCAACTGTCCAAGATTAAACAGGTGGATTTGGTCTGGAGACAACAACACTCACTAGTTGCCGCACGTAAAAAGGTAACGTTTGAGGACACAGTACAAACAATGGAGTATTAAAACGCTTCAATGGCACAAGGATAATTTGTTGAATATGCATAATACAGTGTATGCAAATATGCATAACACACAAACACACAGCAGTCTGCTCAACTGTGGTAGCCTATAAAAAACCTGTGTGCACACAGAGGGACGTGAGCCCACGCTGCAGTGCACATGAAGAGGCTCAAACAGGTGCTGCACACTCATATGCACATTATTCAGGTCAACACAGTGAACAACAGATCCTGGGGGAGACACACACTGACACATTGACCCTGTTTTTCACTCTGTGCGTAAATGAACATATGATGTTCAAAGTCAGCAATAACAAGTGAGGTGGAATAATCCTAGTCTCTCTGCCAGCAGAACATGTCAGACAAAGGAAGGCACTTGTAGATCAACTTAGCATCCTGACACACCGAGAGACTGCTCGGGGTTATAGGGTGATATATTTAATCAGTGCATAGTAGGACATCCTGGACAAAAGCTTATCTGCTTAAGCAGTGTAGTAAATATAGGTAGTAGTTAGTCAGGGTGCACAATAACCAGAGGGCAAAATAATTATGCATAGTAATATTTCATCAATCAGTATTAAGCCTGCATTTGTTAATCTGAACTGTAGATTAGGGTTANATATTCTCTGTCATAATAATACTTTTAGTTGTAATAGCCAACCTTTGCAGTTAGTCTTAAATTAAACGTCTTATATTTTATTTTACCTAACTTTACACTAATTTTGGCATTTAGCTATTATTAGCACACCCTTAACTTATTACCATTGCTAAATGCTGAGATATTTTTGTCTACTAACTATTGAGTTTTTGTCACATTAAGGTCATCTTCTTGTGTTAACGTTGAGCTAATTTTAACATACTGTTGACTAATTTTCAGCTACTATTTGGCTACATTTTTTACCCATATTTGTGACTAATACTTAGAGCTCATTAGCTGTAATATAATGACTTTTAGCTGAGTAACGAGCACCATTTAATCTAACTCTAATCCCTTTCATTAGACTTTTTCTCAAACATGTATGTCTTGAACGATCCTCGATACTCGTAAAACAAAGAGAAAGATCGAGGAAGCTCACAGTAATGCCACGTTTTCAGCTTTACGTTGCTGTACACTTCACCGCAAACCTATAGGTTCCATGGTGTAATGGTTAGCACTCTGGACTCTGAATCCAGCGATCCGAGTTCAAATCTCGGTGGAACCTTCGTTATGCCCCCTATTACTTCAGGGGAAAGGTTCCAGTGTTACACGTACGGTTTATCACAACGGTCATTCAGCGTTAGCTTTTGCAGATTACAAATATTGTTAATAAATCTCTCCCACCATTTTAAATGTTTTTTTTTTTTTACCACGAATCCAACGTGTTGTAACGAATAGTAACTATAGTGAAAGTTGAGGCAGGAGATTTGATTTTTTTTTTAGTCACCAATGCGCACAGATGGGAGCTCTCTGAGTCTGGGCGCCGTTTTGCTCATAACACCTCACCACCTTTTAATAAACAACGTTAAAGACCCCCTGCTGCAGACTGTTACGTGACATTGAGCTTATGCACAGGAGCGGCTGTTGTTGTTGTGTTTTACCTGAAGTGTCCCACAGACTGAGCTCCACTCGCTGCTCCTCCAGCTCCAGACAGGCTGTGTAGTTCTCAAACACCGTGGGCACGTACGTCTGCGTGGAGTCAAATTAACAACACGGTGTCATTAGTGGGGAGGTGTCAGTCTGTCACTCACTCAGTCACTCAGTCTGTCTGTCTGTCAGCCACGACTTAATGAAATGCATCCGGATAATTAGTGCAACACGTTTAACGCCTCGGTGAGAAACCAGTCTAATAAGAGGACACATCAAAGATCTGCTGCAGTTTTACATCAGTCTCCTAAATCACCGCAGCTGCAGGAGAATAAGAGAAACATCAACCTCCTGCAGTGATACATTAAAAAAGGACATAATGTACATTTTTTTTACATCGTTACACACTGTGCCATGAAAAGGCTTATGTAATCTAGTTCCCAGTCAGAGAATAAAAAAGACAGAACATGCGCATGCACTTGTCACTGCAGAATGCGATCTCTCCCTGATATCTTTAATCGATATATGGGGAATAAACATCCCAAATGAAATAACAGATGAAAAGTTATCATGTATTAAACAACATTTTCTGTCAGATATTAGTGCGCATACCTCTGGATAACAGTCCTTAGCCAGGACTTGCAACATTGCCGTTTTCCCGCATTGAACGTCTCCAACAAGAACCAGTTTACATCTGACCACCAGTGGCTGTGTGTTTCTTCTTTCCTTCATTTTGCCGAAATCTGTCCAGAATGTACAAGTATTTTTTTTCTTTACTTTTTTTTTGTATCAAGCAAGCAGCGAAAGAATTGTTCCCTGCTCGATCCGGTGAATCCCGCAGTTGATCTGATTGAATTTGCCACTGCAGCTCTTTATACGAGCCAGCGGCAGCCAATGAGAGCTCAGCATCCCACACCCCCCTCGCATCATCCAAACATCCCAACTTCCCTCACTGCAGCCACTGAGGCTGATGATGGTGAAGCAGCACGGGCACGCAGTCATATTTCTTTTTTAAATTTTATTTAGAAGTATTTATTTGTACTGTGAGAAGATCCTTAGTTGGTGCAACATCGATCATGTTGATACCAGCTGAACCAAAACTGTTTTCATGTCACTTATGAGAGTTTTATATGGCTCACACGCACGTTTTATTTTTTGTGTGTTAGAAAACGTCGTTACAAACCCACATTTACAGTACAATAAATAGATATATAAATATATAAATAGATTAGATAGATTGACTATCACAGTCAAGAGTGACACAGGCAAAACTCATAGTAATAAAAAACAGGAATAGTATAGTAGTATATATGTGTGTATGTATATTATATATATATAAATTATACATAGATATATATGCATTCCAATAGGCCACGTGGTTATTATTATTTTGTTATATACTGGTCGTTGTTTTGTTTTTGTTGTTAATACTTTGTCTTTTGCCATAAAGTCATAAAGAACTTGGCACAAAGTTTAACAGGAAGTGATGTGTATTTCTCACAGCAGTGTGTCAGTGTTTTCTCAGTCCAGACTCTTTTGTAGTTTGCCTTCCACTGTAGATACTGACTTTTGCTGCTTCAGTACAGTCAATTCACTGCTCAGTTTTATGGTTTTATTTATTGGATTGTAATGAATGCTGAGGAACCCAAAACAGACGGTAGCAGCAAATAAAATATATTTTGTGGACTTGGAGTCTGCACAGCTTTTTTTTTTTTTTTGACCAAGAACAGGAAGAGGCAGTCTTCACCTCTGATGATTTGACGTGTACGTGTTTAGCAGTATTTCTTTATATTTTAGTGCCTGTATGAGACACAGTCAGACATCAGTCAGTCACTGCAGACCTCCGCTGTGTCACCTTTGTATACTGTCACTTCCTCTGCTGCAAATTGATTGATGGGATTGATTTGAGGCTCTGGATCAATGGCACACCACTGGCTGAGTGCTGTATAAGGCTGACAGACCAATCCACTGAGGACTAATTAGTTTACTTTAATCTGCACTACAATCACAGTCAAGTCACTTTAACCCAAACAACATTTCTTGAATGTGAATTTTATTCCCCATCTTCAGCAACTTCTCTGAAATCCTTAAATCAGCAAACTGAGTGATAGCTTTAGAAGGAGACACATTAGCACTGAGCTAAATGGTGTTTACTGTGCTGTGTTTGATTTATTTTATGGCAAAATTGAACCGCACTGGTGTCAGTTATTTCATCAGACATGTATCATCATTCTCTGTCAAAGAATGTTACATTTAGTTTGGAAGCAAATAAATAGTCAACTGACCAATGACCAGTACAAATATCACTTTGTTGACCTGCTCTGGTGTAAGGTATAGTGCAGGCCCCACTGATAGGTGACAAAGCCATCGACTGCTCACAGGGTCAAGTCAAAGGTCTCACCTCTCACTACTGCTGCTCAAACCTCTGGAGACACACAGGCACTGACTTTCACACCCTGAAGGTTATTATTGTATGGGAGAGACATGCCATTGTCTTAGCAAAGGAGCAAAAAAAGTAAAGATTCAATTAAGTGTCATCTCCTGTGTCTGCCAGACTAATTTACTTAATGTTGCCACCCTGAGCTTTTATAACAGCGCTGAAACAAAACTGTTTGCCTTCTGTTAAGCCACACATTTCCTATACATTTTGATCTTATATACAGGACGGGAATATGTCTGAACAATGTAAACTTTAGCTTCCTAAAAAAAAGCCACTCTCTCCACAGCCTGGTTTTATCAAGAAAATTAATTGGCTTTGTAACATTTTGTGTCGTGTTTGTGTATCAGTTATGTCAGTCAGAGACTGAACACTGCAGATCTACAAATTATATTATTCTACCTAAGGTTAAATCCTATGCATTTGTTTGACTTATTAATGGTGGGACAGAGGGAAGACTGCTGACTTTAAATCATCCTTGTTCATTGGTGTGATGTGTTTTTACTTCAGGCCCCAGTAAAACAGTGTTATTTATGGTATTTTATGGTAACATTTTTTATTGCACCCCTCCATAACATTTTATAGTGTTGCTGTATCGCATCTATTTAATCGTTTGTATATGTAAATAAGCTGTTTTACCCAACATTAAAGAAGAAAAAAAAAACAACCAACTTCCCTTGAGGAATCTCTCAGAACCTGAGCTCTGGGAACAGATACTGAACCACTGGCCACAGAGTCAGAGTGTTTGTGATGGGACAGAGAGACAGGTGGCTGTGAATAATCATCAAGCATAATGAGGTGACACCTTCCAATATGGCTGTTAGAATTAGGGGAGGAAGAGAAGGAAGCTCCAGACAGCAGCCGCAGGAAAACAGTCTAAGCTGTGTCATTAACTCGTCAGCAGACTCCGCTGAGGTTTTTAGCACATGAAATTAAATTCACGTGATATTTAACACTGACACCTAAATAAATTATACATTTTTGCTTGTGCGTGCTGGAAATACATCAGACCGCCAGTCAGTGCAATGAGGCATTAATGACACGTGGTAAATGACACTCAGAGCAGAAGGAGGCGATAACTTTGGTTTCTGCAGGGAAAACATTACAGAGTCATTTTCAGCCAGAGACACGTGGCTGCAGTGGAAACAGATTTGAACAGATTGTAGCAGCGCTCATGTGTGAACACATTAAATTCAGCATCATGGCTCTTGTGGGTCTGCAGTTCTCAACCAGGAAGGTTTTACATTCCTTAATATTATGGGCTATAATTTAGGTGAAGCCCAAGAAATGCATTCCTGAAACTTGTCGCTGAGATTTATTTGCAATCTAAAATTTTAGTTTCATTTTCAGTTCAGCTAGTATTTATTTTTAATTCGGCATGTGTAGTTTTATTGAATTCGAATGTGTTCTTTATTATTTGAATCATCTAAATTTCTCTTTCATTTATTGCAGTCCAAACCCCTTAAACCTCTAGGACACTTTCTTTCTAAATCTATAAAGAATAACAAAGTTAATAACGTGAATAAAAAAATTAACTTAATTGAACCAGAAAATGTTTTTTACTCTGAAAAAATGACTGAGGTTTACACAACTCTTCTTAACTCCTGACCCCTGGTGGCAGCATGATGAGCTTCAGCAGAAAACAAAACACCAGACACAGGCTCTGTACTTAAATGTTGCTCTTTTTTAATTCACCTCTTTTTTCTCTCTACCATTGAACCCTGTACACATCACAAGCATCGTCATCATCATCATCATCATCATCATCATTGAAATACAGTTGGACAGTGTTTATCTTGTGGACTCGTCAGAAACCGTGGCATGTCTCGACACCATCATTTTAGCAGACAGCTTGATCAGTATTGGAGGTGGTACAGCAAAAACATTTAAGTGCATTTATTGCATCATAAAGCAGATATATATCTATACATACATATATGTATATATGTATATATATATATACATATACATATATATATACAGTACATATACATATACATATACATATACATGTGATAGTAGTGCAATTATACTCCATCACCACTGAGGATAGGATATCTTGATAGTCTCATCTAGTGTCTTCATAATGCTAGACTTTGTATTGCATACGGAATTTAGGCAAGTAAAATGCAATAGTACAGGATAACTATAGAAAATTGTGCTTTAGAATAAATCACTTTTTGTAGAAATTTCCTGCAATAAAAGTTAAGCAAAGAGGAGGAGCGGATAATAGCTTTTATATTTTATTTTGTGTGTATCTGTAACTGTGCTCTCGAGTAACGTAGCTCTGACCTGATCCTTCAGAAATTAATGTAGATGTTGGTGAAAGTCATTTTTAACATGATCCTAAATAATATTACAGAGCATAGAACATATAAAGGCATGCTTTCTGAGGCGCTAGGTATAGATTTCTGTGCCGTGACCAAAATCTGCATACGTCCGCTCAGCATGTGCTGCTTCTGTGCAATTTGATATAATATTAATAATATCAATAATAATAATAGAAATAATTACTGCATATTACATATACACTGTGTACAGTAAAGCTGTGCTAATGTATACATGTGAGAAGTTATGTTGCTTGTTTTATTTTTTTGTCTGTTTGTTTGTTTGTTTTTCTTCTTCTGATGATGGCTCGTGTGAGGATGGTTCCAAAAAGCCCTTTGTATGAATGGGGAATAAAATATGTCATGCACATACTTTTGAATATTTACATATGTGGTATGTTAGCCAAGTTACATAGTTCTACATGATGAGAAGCAGATGCGTTGATGTAAGAATGACAGTGGCTACTGAATTGCATTCATATACTGTAGATACAAATAAAGGTAACAAAACTATAGAATGTGTGAATAAAGCATTTCTGAGTGCTGTGTTGTAGTTGAAAACTGTACATTTTCTTCCTTCATGTACCTATAATGCATATTTAATGAGTATCCTGCAGTTTGTTGTCAGTGAACGGGAAAAATGAAATGTCTCTCCATGTATATACAGTATAACCCTGGTGTGAGCTGTTTACTAGAGTTTTAAGGAGGTAAACCTTCATTCACGATGTGATGATGAACCCAGGACTTAAATGTGTTATGGAGCTGGATGCAGCAGCTAGTTAAAAAGAAGTAGAGGACTGAAAAGGCTGTGATGATACTGTAGTAACCCCACATGAATTTAATCAACGGAAACCTTCTCAGTGCATTTATGTCCTCTATTTATGTTCCTCTAAATGAAATAATAAGTTAAAAAAACAATATAATGGTTGGTTGATATGTTGACCACTAGCAGCAACAGATCTCCAAAAACATTAATTGATGTCATTAATAACATTTCTACAAGAGAACTTCCATTGTCACATATTAGCCCGACTGATTCAGCAGCTATCCAAATATCTATATAAGTTAGCAGTTGAAAGGTGACGTCTCAGTTCTTGGAAGTACAATAGTGAAAGTAATAAAGCATAACTGGGCTAGCTTTGTTAGCATTTTCTGAGCTCAAACAGAGTTTGTTTTTTTAAAATAACATATCCACAAAGCAATAGCCGTCTCAGTTCTTGGAAGTACAATAGTGAAAGTAATAAAGCATAACTGGGCTAGCTTTGTTAGCATTTTCTGAGCTCAAACAGAGTTTGTTTTTTTAAAATAACATATCCACAAAGCAATAGCAGGAGCTTCATTTTTTCTTTTTTTGGTGTAACTATAAATTTCATATTTACCAGATATATCATAACAGTGAAGCTTAATATATTATTGTTCCCACAGGCTAACATGTTGACAGCTAGCATGATAACTGCTGTTTGGCCATTGACAACAGGCTGAAATTGGGCTTATTTTAACTGTCATATGTAACTGACTTGAATGTCTCTATATAAAATAAATCAATATGTCTTCTACGTGTACACTGAGAAAAGGACAGTCATTGAGTATAATGATACCTTTAAGCTACAGCTCATCTTACAAGTGCTTGATGATGTAAAGTAGTAGTAGAGTGTCAGTACAGGAATGTTAGTGCTGTATTTTTTTTAAGAGTGATTGTGTGTATTATTTGTTTCTCTCCTTAATGATCTTACCTAAAAAGATCCTAAGAAACATTCATACATTCACCGAGTGACAGAAGGCTCACAATAACACATACTGAATATGTAATAAATGGGTGTTCAATTTTCTCGATAAATCATTTTAAAAGGTGCTATTTGCTTGAATTTTCACCAGATGTCAGTTGCAACCTGATTAAAATAATACATGCAAATAATAATAATAATAAAAAAGTAGAGTAAAGTACAGGAGACTAGGGATGTCCAATATATGCCGATCCAGCGACGTTAGACTCCAGCTTTTCAGTCAGCCAGTGTTGTGTGTGTTTTCTACTACAATTCAGTGTCTTGTTACCCATATAGGTAGTTTATTTAAGTATGACAACAATGTCAACAGTTGGGAGGTATTTTAACATCGGGGACGAAAACCAGACGCATGCCTTACCCAGGTGACACTTTCACCCATTCTTCTATGCAACACTAGGGGCAGACTTCTGAAGGCTTTGTAATTACTGATAGATTTCAGCTGGTGTCTTGACGTGGCCTTGAGCACATTCATCCCCTGTGTTTTCTTAATTTTCTGTGTTATTTCACATTATTACTCATTTCACTTTGTTCACGGACATCTTTGTTGTATATGGTTGTTTTTGACATCTGGTAAAAATAAACACCTTTAAAAACTTTGTAAATTGTACTTAGAAAAACTGACATGTACTTGATATTATTTTACCTGCTGCTCTGTTACTGGCTAGAAAAAGGTCAGTTGATTACATTACTGTAAATATTAACCTGTTGGCTTTCACTGTAAAAGAATACAAGGAGTAAAAAATAGATAAAATAAAATAAAAAATAAACTGCTGATGGAATAATGATTGGAAGAGTACTCTCAGTGATTTTAGTAAAAGTAATTTGGAATGACAGCTCACAGTACTCTGTAGACTTGGAAGATATACAGTATAGACTTTCCTCTGTTTTACTCTGTGCTCTCTGAAGTCAGAGTGTCACCCTGAAAACCTGGAATTGGTCTGTTGACCTGTCTTGTGTTCAACTAACAGCTAGTCTGTGCTACAATAATGTAAGGAGACCTGATTCAGCTGATCTGCATTTAGGAAACCTGTACACACATGGGCCGGCTCAGCCTCGTCAGGTGGATGGATGACGGTGTTTACGGTGTTATGAGGGAATTAAGAACAAGGTTCAAATTTCAGAGTATGAAGGGAATGTGATGTGCAGTGTCTGCACTTTTGTACTGGTTTGTGTTACCAGCGAACGTGCAGCTGTAGAAAGCGGCCCTGAGTTGTTGCACGGCAGTGGGAGCAGGGAGCTGTGGTCGAGGGGGCAGCAGTGAGGTGGTGCTGGTCGGATCTTCCTCCTCCGTCCTCTTGCTCCTCTTCTTCTTCGTGTTTCTCCTCCTCGAGATAACCAACCTTCCTTTTTTTCTCTGTCGTCACACTTTGCTCTTTCTCTCTTCTTTGCTCTGGGCGTGGTTAGAGAAGGTGGTGGCTGACTTTGGAGAGATGAGGGCGGCTACTGCTGCCCCCTGGTGGCGCCCTGGTCCCGGTGCTCAATGATTTCCCAGCCTTAACCCAACTAACAGCATAAGCTGCTGCTGTAGAGGAAAAAATAGGAATAATTATTAGGACAAAAAACACCAAAACAAAATAAAGAAATAAATATTTCTTACCTTGTTAGGGCGAGTGATCATTCTATCAACTCTTGAGTTTCAGAAAACTAAGGACAGAAAAGATTCAGTCAAACACTATCTATCTATCTTAATACACCCACTGCTAACACAACCTCTACTATTACATATTCTCATGCAAGTACCACTGCCTTAAATAGAAGCCACCCTGCTACTACTTCAACATCACACCTTTTAATATTACGACTTAAACAGCTTGACTTTTTGTCAAAACTGACCTGTTGGCTGGAGTTAGCTGAGGGAGGAGTAATCACACTTTGGTCCAGTACAGGGTTGACAGGGGCAGAACAGGGAAGGTGCGTCGCCCTCCAGTAAATTTCCAGATACTCTGCCAAGTGTTCGCATGCGTCGTCCAGCTGGTTTTCATCCAGGATGACGTCGAACATCTCCTGACGAGTATAAAACAATAATGTTAGAGAAGTCCAAGTCAGACCGTGTTACTAACTATATTAAAACAGATGATCGTATGAACTCCTGAAGCCTGAGTTTCACTGATATGACATACAGGTGGGCACTGAGCGAGTTTGTCCCCGGCCATCATCTGAACGTTGAGGTGTTTGCTTTGTGACTTCCCTCGTGATTTGATCAGCCTCTGGAGAACCTGTGAGGAGAGAAGACTTAGGAGAGTTAGAGATTCAGAGGTTGCTCAGGAGGAAGATAATTATGACATCATTATATATATTATGAAAATGGTATTAAAGATATACCTGCCCTTAAAGGCAGTTTATATAATATAATATAAACAGAGATGTCCAAAAACAGAAATTAGAGTCTTCGATGATACAGATGGTGGACACAATTTATCTAGAGAATATTTAGACAATCACTTCAAACCATAAAATAATTAATCATATATAAGTTCAATTTAAAAAAAAAAAAAATAATTAATCATATATAAGTTCAATTAAAAAAATATATAATATATAATATCAAATTAGTAATATTTGTCCTTCTTGATGTTATGCTATGGAACTATTGTTTATCATAAAGCACAGCACTGTATGTATTTATTGGTAAATAAGGTTTTTAAATGATGAAATGAAGTAATTGTTTTCCTACCTTTGGTGAAGATACTTTCACATATACAATAATGGGAGCCAGAGATGTCTTTAGGAGCTGTGCTGGATGGTTGATGGTGTCCGCGTCGAGGACGACCAGCTGAAGAGACTTGGCCAGTTCGAAAATCCTCTCGATCTCACTCTGAACCTCGGCTGTGAAGACAGAAATATGGCAAGAGCAGCACACCTAAAGTTAGCACAGCTGTTAAAAGAGAGGGAAGTATTCTTAGCAGGTATTGATCCTAATTTAGCTTTCAGAACATTTACCCAGACTGGAGCGTGTGTTGGATCTCTCCATGATGGCCTTCTTGTTCAGCACTGATCTTTTTGCCAGCGACAGATCAGCAGTCACCCGTGTGATGGAGATCCTAAAGAAAAAGTGTCTGATCACATCACTTTTCCGTTTCAAAGGATACAATCGTGTACTGTCTTTCAGCTAAAAATAAATCATCGCCATCATCATGTGTCCTATCGACCATGAAAATGTGATGTGAGGCAGAATCCCACGAGTGTCTCTGGAACTCAGCCTGTGTTACTGTGCACTAAGCTGCAGCTGTGCATGCAGCTTTTACCCACCTGCCGTCAAATCTGTGCTTCAGGAAGTCAAACAAGGCTTTCTGCATCATGTCAGTTACCTGGGACAAAGACAGCAAGGAGGGGAAAAAAAACAACTTTTAGCAATGAATACTTTATTTTTAAAGCCCAAATACAAAATGTAAAAATGTTTCTGTTATTGACTATAGATTGCAGTTACAGTTTTAACTGTTTTGGCTGTCAAATACATTACTCTATGTGCATTCAATTGGTTATAGATTAAAGAACAGATTCTCCTATGATGAGAAATGAATGATTTTATACATGTGGAGATTCATAGGAAGGCAGAGAAGCGATAAAAGGGATGAAAACAGACATATTTTGTGTTTAAAGGTGTGTCTGTTTATACACTGAAGATGAAATGAAGTCTATTTTCAAACCACCATGAAAAATGGATGGTCTCTCTGAATACGAGATGAAGCTCTCAGTAGTGTTGCCCCTTTGCAAAGTAAAGAGAGTACCAGGAAGGTGGGAAGAAAAGTGTTGCTGGGAAAAAAAGTCTGGGGTTGAGCTCAAAAACAATAGAACACTGAAACTTAAAAAAAATGTAAGGAAGCCAGAGGAGGAGGAAACTGGAGAACAGAGGAAGAAACAGTGAACAACACCGGAGCAAAGCATGAATATTTCACGTCCTCTCTGTTTTTCTCACACACACACATTCATCTACACACACATCAAATACATAGACAACATTGGCAAGAAGTGATATTTTGGTACACTGGTCTCATTTGAGCCTCTGGAGTTGATTTTGAGTTAACAAACCTAAACCCTGCTCCACACAAAAAACATCTCAAACTGTCCTTCTCTTGCTAGACCGTACCCGCAATAGCTTTGTGCCCCCTTTAGAGGGTGTTGCCCCCTATTTTGGAACCACCTTCCTTACAGCTCATCGTAGGAGAAGAACAAAAGCAGCAGCTCCATTAATGGATGCCATTTGAGATTCTCATCACTCAGAGTGGATCATCTGTAAGACCCCTGCTCTGTGTGCTATTATTTCATCAGGACATGACTGTGGTGTTTGGTATCACTGTTAATGGGATAATGGAGGCCAGAGTTAGATCAATGGCCATAACAGAAATCCAATACAGAATAAACTGAGATAAACAAAGTTATTCATAGAAATTAAAAATTAACTTCAACCAAAGACATGGTAACACTGTATGAAACTGTTCAACAGAATACATGGATCACAGCTGCTCTCTTGTCATTTAGTCATAGCCACTCAAATATGGTATGATGGGAACTGTCAACTGTATGCCAATATTATTTTTTTTTCAATGTACAAACCCAATATTTTACAACCTCCTGGTAATACCACTAATTTCAAACAGTACTACGTTACTAAGTTAAGTTAGTAAAGAAAGCCTCACCTCGTATCCTTTCAGTGAAGGTCCCACCAGCACCACTGGTCTCATAGATGGAACCACGTCATAAGGAGGAACATGTTCAGTCTACAGGGGCCACAAATGGAAAACATTCAACATTTGAAGGAGTGAATTAAAAACCGAATGTAGTTTAAAAGAATATACGGCCAATAGTAACTAGTGTGACAAACGTACCTGCTTCTGCTTCTGTTTGGCTTTTAGGATCAACAGAATAAAGGTTTTATAAGAAAATGAAAAACTACCAAATTTACAGTATCTGGGATCAAGTATATTTAAAAATATTAAATCCATTCCCGCAGTCATTACTACTAGACGTTCACTTATTGATGTGATGTAACACTTTTGGAATATTTTGCACTTCTTAATCAGCGTAGTATGTATTGTGTTTTTGAAGCAGGGTGAAAACATGATGTTTCTGTTTATCTCTTAACAATGTTGTACTGTTTACATTTAAATCCAGGTCAGTGAAAAAACTAAATATTAATTGATTGTATTGAAAAGACAGAAAGAAAGTGTTTGGTCAATTTATGACCGTTAATTTATCTAGATTAATCACGATTATTCGTGATTAAATGCCGTAGTTTAAACTTATACATATGTGAGTCCAACCCTGTGAGATGATTGGTCACAGAGGCAGAACAGACTGAGAGTCTCATTTACCTGCAGATGGTGGAGTGGACCTCCAGCCTCCTGATGAAGCGTTCCCTCCTTTCCTGTGGAGCCACATAATGCAAAACTTTATTTAGCTGTGATGCCCTCGGGAATCAATTTAAAAAGTAAATTACAAAGAAAGAGAGAGCGAACAAGGTATTTTTAAACTGCGTGACCTCTGACCTTGCTGCCGCTTTCTGCTCTTGTTTTATCCTCATGGCTTCCAGTTTGACCGGGCTGGGGATGAAAGTGATATCTGCCCCTTCCTTCACCAGTCGACCGATCCACCAGTCATTGTTGTATTTCTGCGTGACGGTGAAACACACACACACACTTCCTAACTGAGCAGTGACACTAACATGACTTGGGTGAACCTTTACATTAGACACACCTCAAAGAAGAATTAATTAGTTATTCTACTCCGGTAACATAAGGCATGATTTAATTATCAACCTCAGTACAAGTGATTAAAATTGTAAACAAGTGTCAGCTCCAGTAAATAAATGATGCAGTGAAAGCTGTGCTGACACAGTATAGTTTGTTGGTTTGTTAGTTTTCATGCATGTGGTAGGTCGGGTGCATCAATAATTCACCTCTTTAATGTGCAGAAAGTCTTTGTTTTCAAAGTTGATAGCAGCACCTTGGACCGGACAATCTTCATCTAGAGCTCCACAATAACTCACATTGGTCTTCACTGCAAATGCTACCGGTTTGGACTGTTAAAATGCAAAGAAATGAAACCCTGTGAGTCACACACGCTGCAGGATGTCCTCAGAACCCAGAGATTAATGCCAGAGCGTGCTTTACCGTGTGACTTTTCGGCTCTCACCTTGGCTCTCTCCAGCTGCAGCTGAGCCTGGCGCTCGGCTTCACGCCGAGACGCCTCCTGGTCCTCCTCCAGGGACAGGTCGGAATCAGAGGGTCGACTAGTGTAGGAATCGGCTGAACCCTGGTAGGAGGAGGAGAAGATGGGTTACTGTAGGTCACCACAGAAAGTGTCTCTGTGATCTTTACTTTTCTACATCCCTGTCTGCAGGCTCTTTAATAACAAGCGCTCCCGCAGGAACATATGTTAATAAAACAGCACCAACAACAAACAGTGTTTGCACAGAAATCACTTTCTATGTAGTCCTCATCATGTACTGCCTGGTGTAGAATACCAAGTATATTATGATACTTAAGTACTACATAAATACACATAGAATGTTTGGATTCTCACATATGTGATTTTCCGCTGTGGCAACTGCAAAAGGAAAAGGTAGTAGAGAAGTGAAAGTTCTGCGTTAGAGTTCCATATTTTCTTTCACTGCCTCTGGCATGGCTGGTCCTTTCTCTTGTTTTTAACAGGCAGCTGTTGCTTTGCATTGATTGCTTTCAGTTTTGTCCCACATCTTGTAACCAGCACTTCCCCTTGGCTTTCTTTGAGCCAGAGTAGTGTTGTTGTGTGTTTGTCATTAAACCAACCACAGATGTTGGCTGACACAAGTCAAGCAAAACTGAATGTAACTGTGAGACAAATGTCTTTGCTAAATTATCAATGATGTGGTTAATAAATGTTGTAGGCGATGCAGAAAATCATAAAGTTCATTATCAGTTCAAGTCAGAACTGGGGTATATTGTTGTACTCAGATATCTAATACTACAGCAATGACACACACAGTGTTACTGCACAAAAGTCATAATAATAGGCACTAACAGATTGTGCAATAAAGAAGCACTTAACAAAAGCCACATTTTACAAAGACATTTAACAAATCGTAGTGTTTCTATTTTTTCCATCCCATAAAATATCAGTAAAGGAAAAAGTAATACATTCACATCTATAAAATTATTTCCTCCATAAACTTAAACCAAAACCAAAAATATTGCTGTAATGTTTACTGAACAAGAGTAATTTAATGAGGCCTTAGTCTGAGGCCAAGCCTATTAAAGTAGCTGTCCACATACTGAAGCTAAAGCTAACGCTAAAGGAAAAGCTAAAGCTGAACACCACAAACAGTAAAGGCAAAAAAAGGTTTCTCTTGCTGAACAACATTCTTTAAATTAGTCATAAAATACTTGAAATAGTTTTGACCAAAAACTATAAAGCATTACGGTAAGTTAGAGCAAACATTATCAATTAGAACTAGCTACAAAAACACTATTTTGATATTAGCCGAGAAAGTTATTTTAGCTGAAATGATAGCAAAAAGTTAGCACCTACTGTAGTATGCTTAAAATTGTCAAGAATTAACTTAAAGCTACTTAACAAATAACCTGAGACATACAATGGTGTTTTTACCATTAAAAGGGAATATTAAATAAATTATTTTATATATGGGACAAAAATAATATCCTCTACTCACAACCTGGTGTCACCATGACTTCCACGTCAGTCCTCACAGCTTATTCTCTGTGCTCCTTCCATTTGTTACTTTTCAAAACCATGCTGCTTACCACACAACAGTGGGATCAATAGTGGGAGCACTCATGCAAGTGTCACCATGATGTGCCTGCAATTTTTGCACTTACTTGACTATGTAAAAATAAACAACAGAACGACAAGAGACTCACTGAATATGAGGAAGAAAACCCTCAGACTGCAAGTCCTATTAGAGAGTGAAACATGAGATTATGACTCTGCAGCAGTGGTGGCTTTTGACCAGCAGAGGGACACAGGCACACCGCAAACATCCTGCTTTTATAATAACAACGAGTGACACTTTCCTTTTGGTCTGTTCACACTAAACATTCATTTTTAAGCTGTAATGCGTAGAAAAGTGATGTGGTGTCATTGAAATGGTTAGAATACTACAGTGACATCTAAGTGTTTTTTCTTTTTTTCTTTTTTTGAGGTTGTAGCACAAGGACTCATTTAATTTCATTTACAGACAAAGTAGCATTGTACTATGCATATTGGTTGAAATGCTATTTAAAGGCAGTGGCCACTGTATAAATACACAAAAATAAAACCATACAGTCCACAATAACAGAAGCTCAACAGATGTTCCTCGAGTTCAAAGCACAGCAGCCAGGAACAGAGTAAAGATAGGTGCACACTGTAGTACTGCATGTGCAGAGCTGATACGAAGGAGGAACCAGAAGGAGAGGAGGTGATGGAGGGAGGATGGAGACAGAGAGAAGAATCCTCAGATATAATGGTGGATTCATTCTGCATGCAGTGGCGAGAATAAAACAGGAGCATCAACAGCGTACCTTGTTACAGATGAGTCCTGTAGCGCTGGAGTCAGACATGGTTGTGCTGCCAGCACTCCCCCCACCCCCCCATTGCACATAGAAAAGGCAGGAATCCTCCTCCCGTCAGCCTGTGGTTAGGAGGGAGAGGCACCCTCAGGCTTAAGTGCTCCACGGCTGACGTTTCTGCGCTGCTGATGCTGCGCTGCTGCTGCTGCTGCTTCAACAGCCATTTCCTATACAAAATTGATGCTCTGACTGCAGCAGCAGCAGCACTGTGTACACACCCGCACACTGGTACAGTCCAGATGGGTTTCTTTAGCTCCACACAAGACCTCATGGAGCTTTCATCCTCTCCTCTCCTCTCCTCTTCCCTTCTCTCCCCTCCTCACTACTTCACTACTATTTTGTCCTTTCTTGTCCTCTAAACTTCTCTCCTTTCCGCTTCTTCGCTCCCCTCTCCTTTCCTGTTCTCACCTATCACCTTTCCTTTCTCCTCTCCTCTAAACTTCTCTCCTCTCCTCTTCTTTCCTTTTTCTCCTGTCCTATCTTTTCCTCTCCTCTTGTTTCTGGTCTCCCCTCTTGTCTCCCCTAACTCAGTTCTTATGTAACCGACTTGTTCAGCATCATGACGAAACCTGGCCATTAAAATGAAAGGAAAACCCCATGTTCTGCTGACCAAACCCTAAACATCCATATGATTCAGATGTACAGAATGTAAGAATCTGGAGAAGCTGGTAAAACCCAGAACAGAGAAGACTGAGAACCAGACCCTGAATCTGGAACCAGGTGACAATTTCAAGACAGAGATTCACAGACGGCAGATGTTGTGAAGAGGAGAACATGAATGAACTGATGAGGAGTATTATTGGAGGGCAGGGCTGTGCCCGCCTGCCTGTCTGCCCTGCACCATCCTTCTGACAGTAAGATGATGCACAAGCCTACAGAAAAGAAATGCAGTGGTGAGTCAGCAGGCAGAATCCCATCAGATGTCCTAATAGGCTGAAAAAAAAAAAGAAAGATCTGGAGACAGCTTGGCAAAGCCCTGGCTGCTGTCCTACTCTCCGTCAGGGGGCCTCAGGCACCCAGGACCCTACTTTGGTCACTATTATACTGGTAACACACCCTCTCTGTCGTACCCTCATTCAACTGTGGCTGATTAAGAATTAAGTGCACTGCAGCAGGCTGGGCTTTTAGCAAAAAATGTCTCAGGGCTATATTTCTGCCTGGCTTTTTAAAATGAAAGGGAAGAAGGAGGCCTAGGCCCGCGCACACACACACACACACACACATGTATATGCACTAATGTACCGTAGCTAGAACGCCTCCTTCCATCAGATGCCTCTGGAGCAGAAAAGATAGGAAAATTGTTTTCATCATTAGCGAATAAAACAGCCTTTAAGTAACACGGGGTCAAAACAGAGGAAAGGGAAAAAAACCACAGAGGTAAATAACAAAAAACCAAGCAGCTGCTCATAGTAATGAAAAGAATAGAAGTTAAATAATTGACAGGTGATTTTGGTACATTTTTGTCTCTCCTGGTCATGAATTTTGTACAAAACGGACAAAGACTAAGTTGCAGGAGAAGGAAAAGAGTGAGGAGAAAGACTGTCAGAAAAATGGAAAAAGAAAGAGGAGCAGGAAATTATTTTTGTTTTTTCTAGTGTGCTGCATGTGGACAATCTAAATTTAGCTCTCTTCTCCCCTTTCTTCTACTCCCCTCTCCTTCGCTCTCCCCTCTTCTCTACTCCTTCCCTCCCCACGTCCTCCCCTCTTCTTCTCTCCTCCTTTCACTCATCTGGTTGACAGTGGGAAGAGGATCATGAAGGATGGTTTAAATTCATATTCCTTTATGAGTTTTGATGAATTTCCCTCCTGAAGGTGCCATGCAAATCTGAGTCTGGCTGAGCCTCACTCACTGCTGCAACACAGCCATTCAAATATCAACTGAATATAAAGACTTTACAACAACAACAACAACAAGGATTTATCCCTTAGTATGCACTCTGCAGCAACAGTGGCTTTATTACTTTATTCAAGCTCTGGTAATAATGGATGCAGTGTATATTGGATTAGATAATCAGATATTATGAGATGTTCAGGAGTCTGTTCAGGGATGGGGATTGGCTCAGATTGGAATGTGGATCATTCCTCAGCCTCACACTCAACACCAAAGACCCATTAAAGATCAGCAAAATAAAGTCACTACACATGGGCAGGGCGGCTGGAGCCAACCCCAGCCATCATCATCACCTTGGACCAGTCCATCACACCTACAACCACATACATATGGAGACAAACACCATTCACCCTCATGTTTATACTTATGGTCAAAGTAGACCGTCAAATTCACCTTAGTTACGAGCAGGGATCGAATGGTGAGGCAGGGTCTCTAACCGCTCCTCCCCTCTATGTAGCCCAGTGATTCTTTTATTCTCTATGCTATTCAGAAATACAAACAAACATATGTGGCATGTGCACATTATCACAGACCAGTATCTTATAAAATATGTCCACCATCTGAGCTTAGCAAAACATGCTAGTCCTGCAAGTCCTGATATTTGAAAAGGTGAAATTTCTCATCAGCTCGTGTTGTTTAAGCAGTCGAATTAATGGACTTCTCCCCTTAAACAGGTTTTAAGGGGTTAATTGGTTCATAATGACACAGTTTTTGATAATAGTAGGGTTGGGTATAGAAATACACAGAGCTGGTGTTGAACCTGTGACGTGATGACAAAGTCCCTACACAGAGCTGGGCCACTGAGGTCCTCGATCATTTTATACAACCATGTTTTATTACATTCTCTCTACAATAGAACAAATGATGTCACCAAGTACGTTAGTCCTTCATCTGCTGCAGTTACGTCATCATCAATACCATGGTTCCAGACAGAAACCTATATCTGTAATAGGAGGTAGCATAACAAGCAATGGTGGATCATCTGGAGAGAAGGTCTCCTGACAGTGCAACCAGATCAGGGCAGGGGAGATCAATAGCAGAGCCATCCAGAATTATACAGCGCTCTGTCGTCAGCAGCTCCAGCCTCCTTCTGCTTCTTACCTCCGTTTCTTTTTTTCCGAGTGTAATGAGCCTTTAGCAGATCCTGGAGTCTATAAATAAGCACTTCCGAGTCATTGCAAGACACGCAACACAACTGCCTTCTCATAGTTACAGCAGTGTTAAGAAAAGAAGTCCTCCTCTACCAAGGTGAACACCACGGTTAACATTAATACGATGTCATACTGTAACTAATCAGAGAAAGGTCAGAAAGAGGTCGTCACCTACTGTATCCACGCCTCGGTTAAGTGTGGTTTGACTTGGGTTTGATGCCACAGCCTGACTTCATCTAACTGCTCCAAAGATTTAACCCACATAAAACTGTGCACCTACTTTGCGGCACAGACTTTCACAGCATCACTACATCCTTTAGTAAAAGAGATGTTTTTGTTCAGGGATGACCTGGTTTATGTTTAGAGTGCAATTTTTTTTAGGGAATAATTGGAGCATTTTAAAGTTGGGCTGAAAAACGGGCTGGAAGTCAAGTTCATCAATGTATGTAAGACAGTCGTACATCAGTTCTTCATCTTATATAGTCATTTATTTACATCTATGTCTTCATCGGTTAAGTTTAGGGCTATGACATTCGATCGAGTCTAAAATTGACTTCAACAAAAGCAGGTTTTGAGCAAGTTCATCAATGTATGTAAGACAGTCGTACATCAGTTCTTCATCTTATATAGTCATTTATTTACATCTATGTCTTCATCGGTTAAGTTTAGGGCTATGGCATTCAATCGATTGAAGCAGCTCTATGCAGTACTTCAGTGTAATATGAAATGTGTAAGGTCTAAAATTGACTTATTTGATCTATTTACCTAAAAACATGTTGATTACGTTGATGGAGAAAACAGATCGTCTTACTGTAGCAAATCTGGCCAATCAGAATGCTGCCTCTCTCTCTGTTCTGCTCATTCTCTGCTGTCCGTCAATTTCTAAAAGACTTCCAGAACTTCAGGTAAACTTGAGACGTCTCTAATTTTAACGGACTACTTTAAATAAACTGGAGTAGAGAACTGCCATCTGTCTGTTTTGTCACTTTTCTTTTTTGCAAATGAATAAAATGTAAAGAGTGTAATTCTTATCTTCTTAAATCTAAATATCAAACCAATGCTCTTTCTCTGGTTGTTGTATTTAGTTCATTACACAGCAACTACTGATGATGGACCGGGTGTTTTAGGTCATCAAATATTTTATATACCCTTCTTAATTCTCCACTTGTTTTGAATATATACCACAAGATGTTTATACAGAGAAAAATAATAATATTTCTTTAAAAAATATCCAAAAGATGTCACGCACGGAAAATGAGGTCACAGACTGTATCCAAGAAGAAATGTTTTTTTTTTCTATTAAGAATCTGAAGAAAGACTTCACGTCTTCTAGACTGCAACTTAAGGAGAAGCTAGAACTGGATTTTCAACACTGCTGGTTCATCAAATTTAATCAAGGCAGTGAACACTGATGCACCACTACACAAAGACACACACACACACACACACAATGCACTCCGCTCCTCGTGGGACAGGCTTTTAGTGCTCTGTCTCATGCAGTATTTAATTGACCCCACACAGGAAGCCTTGCAGTCCCAAATGCACCCCCCCCCCTCCAGCAGTGAAAGCATGGCCCTTGCTCATGCAGTATTTAATTGCCCCCCCCCAGGAAGCCTTGCAGTCCCAAATGCACCCCCCCCCCCTCCAGCAGTGAAAGCATGAATGCCTGTGCCTGTGCCCACAGCCTCCCACCACTGCACCTCTGTCACACAGCTGCACTAAATGCCATTTTCTGCTTTTGCTACACCTCAGACTTCCTACAGAAAAGCCAGCGCTGACATCGAGGAAGAGTTGGGATCAGCACCCAGGTATTCCAGAAATGGAAATCCTGTCACGCCTCACTTTGACAGCCACAGACTGGTCACATCAACACATTTTTTTAAACTTTCAGTGCACATCACTGGAGCATAGCAAAGCTCTGTTCTGATCAGCTGATGCCCTCTGACTATAAGGCGTGTGAGGGTCTGTTGTTGGGTGTCCAGCAGCTCAAATCAACATCATCGTTTTCAGGGAGGGGACGAGATGCAGAGGAGATAACAGCGTACTCACTCAGTTGGAGGTAGGAGAGCACTCTCCCCGTCTCTCGCTCGCTCGCTCTCCCAGCTAGTCAGTCATGGTGTGCTCTCTCACTCTCTCAGTTAACACTGAAGGCTACTGTAGCGAGCCTATAAGCAGTCTATCCCTCTCTCTTTATCTACACCCCCTCCTATCTCATTCTCCTCCACTCTCAGTGCACAACCCTTTGCTACGTCAGTGAGGCTCCCTCTGCTCTGCATATCATCCTTCCAGTTCCCACCCTCTCTCTTCCTCCATCTCTACCTCCTCTGTCCAATTAGACTGAGCATCACCAGCACGTTGAGTTCACTCAGGACTCCATCATGACAGATCAGCATCACGGCAAACTAGGAATCGAACGGGGGGTGAGGGGGTGGGGGGGTTGCTAGCATTTGTGCTAGTCTTTATGGTCACACAATGGGAATTGAAATCAATCTCCTGACGGGAACAACATGTGGATTGACCACCTGGTTGAATGGCTCAACATCTGCATTACTGCATAAAAAAACAAAACAACACAAGAATAACTCCTGCTAAGTCTTTTTTTTTCTTCTATTTTCCAGT